AGCAGTGATATCCCAGGTGCCATGGTCTTTTCTAAATCCTTCTTGAACTTCTGGAAGTTCCATATTTATGTACTAGTCTAGCTATTTTTTTTAAATGATCTTCAGCTGTATTTTGCTTGCATGTGATATTAATGATATTGTTCAATAGTTTCTACTTTCTGTTGCATCACCTTTCTTGGGCATGGGAACAAACGTAGACCTCTTCAAGTCTGTTGATCAGACAACTGTCCTCCAAATTTCTTGACATAGACTGGTAAGTACATCCAGAGCTGCATCTATTAATTAAAACAAGTCAATTAATTGGTATCTCATTGATTACTGGGGCCTTATTTTTGTCGGTGCCTCCAATGCAACTTCTACTTCCTCCTTCATTACTATTGGCTCTGTTTATGTGGTACTTTCTGAAAATTTTCATGTCAGTCAGTTCTTTTTTTTGGTACAGTGGTTCTGTGTATTCCCTCCACCTTCTTTTGATGTTTTCTGGGTCATTTAATATATTATCCATAGCATCTTTCAATACTGTGACTCGAGGCTTAAATTTGTTTTTCAGTTCTTTCAACTTGAGAAATTCAGAGCATTTGCTTTCCCTTTTATTCTCTGATTCCAGATCTCTGCACATTTCATTATAATACTTTGTTTTGCCTTCTTGAGGTGCCTTTTGAAATATGTTGAAATATTTTACTTCCACATGCTTTCCCTTTGTTTTGTCTTCTCAATGCTCTAGTGCAACATTTAGAGTCTCTTCTGACATCCATTTCCATTTTCCTTTCTCCTTTTTGTAATGACCTTTCTTCATTAAGGAATCATTGATGTCATCCCACAACTCATATGGTCTTCAATCAATGGCGTTCAATGATTATATAACATTTTGGTTCCCTTGAACTTAATTTTCTTCAGCCTTAATTTCAACTTGCACGTTTGTAATCTATTGACTCACAGTCTGAGGCTGGCCTTGTTTTGACTGCTGATATTGAGCTTCTACAATGATTTCTTCTACAGGTGTAGATCCCTATACAGCATGTCAGGTGAGATCCATATGTGAAGTTGTTGTTTGTGGCTTTAAAAAAGTATTTGCAATAAATAAACCATTGATAAACACAAAATTATATCATTCTATTTCCAGCCTCATTTCAATCACCAAGCCTGTATTTTCCAACGATTTTTTTCTTCCTTGTTGATTATACACCTTTCACCTCCATGCAAAGCAATTGGTAATACTATGTGTTGGGTCAAACAAACCTTTTATCTTAAATTGACATTTTTGTGCTTAATTAAGGCCACATACTTGATCTCTTCCCTGACAATAAAAGCATGGAGTATGACAAAGACAAATTGGATTTATTGAGAGGTAGAGACAATCTGAAGAGGACCTGAAACACTTGCTTCAGAAGGTCAAGGACTGCAGCCTTCAATATGGATTGAAGCTCAATATCAAGAAGACAAAGATTATCATCACTGGGCCAATTGGCAGCACCATGTTAGATAGAGAAGAGACTGAGTTTGTTAACAATTACAGCTTGCTCAGCTCCACAATCAATACTCTTAGCACCAGCAATCAGGAAATCAAAAGATGAATTGCATTGGGAAAATCTGCTGTCAGGGAACTCTCTCCAGAATACTGAAAAGCAATGATGTCAGTCTAGAGATTAAGGTGCACCTAATCAGGCCTTGGTCTTCACAATTACTCTCTCTGTATCAGAGAGTTGGACAGTGACTAAGAATAATAGAAGAGGAATTGATGCCTTCAAATTGTGGTGCTGAGAGTCTTGAACACACCATGAACCACCAAGAAAACAAATTGATCTGTCTTGGGGAGAGTGAAACCAAGTTTCTTCTTGGAGGCTAGGATTTTGAAGCTCATTCTCACATACTTTGGGCATGTGGCCAGAAGAGACTGGTCCTTGGAGAAGGACATCATGCCCAGAAGGGTGAAGGGACAGTGCAGGAGAGGAAGTCCCTGGATGAGATGGATTGATACAGTAGCTGTGACAATGGGGATCAGTGTGTTGAAATTAGTGAGACTGGATCAGGACAGGATAGGCTTCAGAGCTGCTTGGGTCACTATGGGTCACAGGCAACTTGACAGATAATCTGGACCAGAGAGGTATCCTTTGTCACAGAATAAAAATGGTCATACTACTATACCAAGGAAAAATGTACATTGTTGTACTGTTGGAGTGAACACTAGAGATTACAGAATTCATAATTAGCTGAAAGTCCATTTGGAGAGTTAAAAGCAGGATATCTACAAGATAGAATTTGGCAGATTTGGGTGCACAAAACAGAAATGGGATGACATAACTGGTCTAAGTTCATGCCTTTCAGTTTATTACAGGGAGATCTCAAGATGGTGACAAAACTGGTTTTTCTGGCAACTTCTGAGTAAAATTGCTTTCTCAACTGTGTCTGCCTCTGTGTCCATTTTGAAGATCTATTGCCAATGGTGTACATCTAGCCTGTGGGCTTATGCTTTGAACACAAGCTACAATAGCATTCATCTATTTGACTATAATAAAAAAGAGTATTTGAGAATAGATTGTGATGCCCCATACTTGTCTCTGGTATACTGGTGGCCTAGTGCTAAGTAGCTGTGCTGTAAACTCAAAGACATGTTGTTCTAATCCACCAGCCGCACTGCAGAAGGATGGACAATCTCCTCCTGTGGGATTAACTGCCTCTGAAAACCCAATGGTGAGCCTGCTATGGACCGGTTCTGACTCAGTGGCAAACAACAACAACAACAAAAACACACAAGTCAGACCTCAGAGAAAAGTATTGTCTTTAGGTAACATAGCCATGCACGTCAGCACCAAAGTTAAAAGAATTGATGTTTAGAAAAATAGCTTTTAAAATCCAGCATAAATTCCACATGTATGCCAAGCCTTTCAAATACAATTCCATTTTACATTCTGCTCCATTTACATACATCAAGTGCTTCTGATTTTAAACTCTTTGCCAATGCCATAATTAAAAGCCATTGATTTTTCTGTCATCATTATTCATTGTTCAGCTTTCAAGTGCAGAGGAAGCAATTGACAGTATCATGGCTTAGATCAGGTGTATCTTAGTTTTTAAACTGGCATCCATACTCTTTAGCATTTATTTGGAGAGGTCCTTGACAGTAGATTTCTTCAGTGCAACACATCTTTTGATTTTTTGACTGGTGTTATCAAGGCATGTGGTTTGAATCCACCAGCTGCTCCACTGGAGAAATATGGACAATGTCCTCTCATGCTATTAAGTGCCTCAGAAAACATGCTGGAGGGTAAGAGATGGGTAATTCTGACTCTATGGCTGGCACACAACAATAACATCAAGAAAACAAAAATTCTCACCCATGGATTGACAGGCACTATCAGGACAGAGGGAGAAAAAGTTGAATTTGTCAATGGTTTAAATTATTTAGATCTACAGTCCATGGTCTTTGCAATCACTTGTTATGCATCAGAGAGTTGGACAATGACCAAGGAGGATAGAAGGAGAATTGATGCCTTTGAGCTGTTGTGCTGGAGAAGAGTATTGATAGCACCATGGACTGCTAAGAAAACAAACAGATTCATCCTGGAAAGGGTTAACCCAGGTGGCT